AAGGAAGGGAGGGAGGGAGGGAGGGAGGGAGGAAGGAAGGAAGGAAGGAAGGAAGGAAGGAAGGAACCCTTCTTGCCTCAGTTTTAGTTTTAGTTTATCAAATTGTGCACATGTGCAAGTATCAGGTCTGCACTCAGGTCAAGAATTAATGCCAGAGGGGTGAGAAGAAGGTTAGACTTTTTCACTGAAAGCAATAAATGCAAGTGGTACAAAAATGACCAAAGGGATGTTTGTCACTTGAAAAATACTCCTACCATGTACCATGGCAGGTTCCTGTAGCCCTGACACACTGTTCTCTTTATTCCCCAGCTGTGCCAAGTTAAACAAAGTGACACTAAGCGAAGGAAATGCCACACATGATCAGGTTTGCCTAGACCAGTTGCCCACCTATCTCAGCCCAAGTACTTTGTCCATGAGATTCAGCAGTGAAACAAACAACTCTGACCCAAGAAGGTTTCACAAGAACCTCGTAACCATTGCTAGTATCCTCTTAAGTGCCACAACAACTGAAAACCCCAGTTCAACTCCTGAGGATAAAGCTCTGACTGGCACTTTTCCCACCTTGGCCATGGGGGAGATGACAACGGGAGGTAACAAAGATAAAGCATTTACTCTGTCTAGCATGTTTTATTTGGATGTATCTTGGGTAAATGCAGTTTTTATGTGGGATCTTTTTGCATATCCCCTACAATTTGTGAAATGATGTCCATGGATCTATGTCCAAACACATAGATCTACTAATAGTTTCCCCTCTGCCTTTTCTTGGCCTTTCCTGTACTCCCTTTCCCTTTCTGTGCTATAGGTGTAGTTGTTTGGGGAGTGGTTCTCTCTGTGATAGTGCTACTTGTGGGCACGCTGTTATTTTGGAAATGGAAGGTTTGCAAGAAGCGGATCCTCATCCTCAAAGGAAAGCGTGAGTTTTTAAAGCTATAATACATAGCATGCTGCTTGATCTCCAAGTATATGCCAACCGGGAACTCGAATATCCCCAAATTTTTGGAGGTCATTGGGGTAGAGGATGTTCACTACTGCCTGGTGAAGGCAAATAAGGGTTCTAGGCAAACTGTTGATGCAGCACGTTGGAGAACATGAGAGAAAGATACAAGCAGCAGAGAACTTACGGAAGAAGGTGCTATAGGCTGGGTGGGGAAAGGGTAACCAGTGGTTTCTTTTCTCATCACAGACACTAATATTAAATGATACCTGAAGTGTTTTGTGAGTATTTGTTTGTTCCAGGAATGGGGTTGGACTTTGAGCATGAGAGGAAGAATGATTTTCACTGGTAGTGACTCTCGCTAGCTTTGCCTAGAGTTATACATGGGGTGTGCCTGTGGAACCACATTCCATCTTTTATAGAAAGCAGGATGTGCACGTTGTAGGTTGCTTGTAGATCTGTGGGTGTGGTAAAGCTGTTAGAGCCTGCATGCTCCATGATGAGTTTTGCTAAATGAATGGTTTCTTTTATCAGCACATCTGCATTCTGTCACTTCACACAAATCCGGGCTCAGATCTCAAGGTGAGTGACTGATGGCCAGGAACTGTCACCCATGCGTATAAAGAATAAGTGGATAGTTTTAATATGGAACTTTATGATATGGAATTTTTATTTGAAACCTGGAACTTTTTCATGTCAAATGCTGAGATGCTGCAGGGCCACCCTGGCTGTGCTGCGCAGGCGGGTGACACCTGGATGTGACAAGCCACTAGATGGCACGTTCTTCCCACGGCACCTGTATGCCTGGGCCATCTGTCAGTGCAGGGAGGCTTTGCTGGAAAGACGCCCAGTTCATTTCTGGGCACTCAAATGTGGGAGACGTGTTCCAAAAAAAGTGGGTGTTAGCCATGGCAACCCGTGCAGCTCCCCTCCAGTACACACATTTTGCCCAGTTAACTAGTCCCCTCTCAGCAGGTCCATTTCCATTGACTGATCTATTCTCTTACATTAGATTCTTCTAATCACCACACATCGGAGCTTTTTATACTCATTTATTCAGGAATATGGTTTAAAACCTCTTGTGTGTAATTTTCTCCAAATGGAATTTTTGCTTCCTCCCTTGCCTTACACAACTGAAACTGTTACTGTGCAGCATTGCAGAGGTGATGCATTGTAAATAAAGGTGGCTGCATGTCAGGGTGAAATCAGATAGTGAGCCTGAGCCCATCTAGCTTCATGCTACTACGGAAGGATGCTGTACACTCCCTCCTTCTTACCTCTCTTTTTCTCCCAGTGTTCTCTTCCTCCATCATGGCATAAAATCCCATCCCCTTAATATTCATCTGACCACACAATGAAGTGATCCAACTTGTTAATCCAGTAGAAAGGTTTTTTTGTGGTTTTTTTTTTGTTGTTGTTGGTTTTTTTTTGTTTTTTTGTTTTTTAATAAGCCTGTCTTCTGCTTATCTAGAAAGTTTAATCACTTCATCATTTCATTAGATTAATACCAGTGGTGGGGTGGGGAAAGTGATATGGATGGCCACAAAGGGCTCTGGGGAGGGCAGGATCTCAGTCTTGGCAGCAACATGTTGCTGGTTCACCTCAGCCACATCGTGTAATGTGCCCTCCGTGGTAAAGAAAGCATGCAGGTGGGTTGGGCAGCAGAGTCGTTTAGGACACATGGCTAGGTGATCTTTCATAGTAAATATTAACATTCTTGTTGTTGCTCTGAAGTTTCTTCTGACGATTTTTCCTCTCTCCGTTGCAGGTTCTGATCTAGTGAACAAATGTGCAGTAAGTGTGAACAATAATCCAAAACAGATCACTTTGCATTCCAACGTAAATAATGATGTTTTAAAATGCCCTGTTAAAGAGTTTTTGTTTGGACTTGGCTCTACAACACGTGATCCTCTGGGTGCAGCAATGAGATGTACTAGAACTTGCTACTTTCATGTCTTGGGCTATATTTAATGTGGCGTTAAATAATATGATGCTGCCAATCTTGCTTGTGAAGGGACTATTTGGTTTGGTCTTATGCCACTCGTGTTGCATTCTATGGGACAAGATCCAAAGTCACAGGATGAACACACCTTTTCTACCTTCTGGGAGAGCTTTGTCAGTCCCATTTTACCTTACTGCTCCAGTCACTCAAGCGGGATTTGTACTCTTCTTCTGTCTCCCTCTGTGTCACCTCCCCTCTTTGCAGGGTTTAGCATGACTGTAATGTGGGGACACAGTGGGTGGTGTTTGTCTCCAGACTCTCCATCAAGACCAGCTTCTGGTTTAACAGTGCAGTTTGCAGACTGTTACAAGGCGAACATCAGCCAATATGGTAACAGCGGAAAGCAGTTCCTCAGCTGCTGAAATCATTGCAGCTCTGTTTGATTCCCCCACTTCCAGTGAAATTACAGCAACTTTCATCCTCTCAGTCTTCTCAGTTTTAGGCTTGTTATCTTTAGATGTCTGTAGCTCCTAAAACACTCTTTAGACTGTTCCCTTTTTTAAAAAATCAGTTTTCTTTTCAGTGTTATACATCTGCACACATAGAAGATACTGCTTACTTTAATAAATCTGATTGCAATCAGCTATCATAATTTCAGTGTATCATTGCTCATTCCTGAATTGTGGGGAGCTTCCACTCTTGCTTTCAAAATTAGTCAGACAGGAGCAAGAGTTTTAAACTGCACGTTTCAAAGTCTTACTATGTTTTTATTTTTATTTTCCAACCCTGTGGAAACAGAGCTAGGAACGATCAGAAATTTGTGATGCAGGACCCTGAACCTCTCTCAGATTCTGGCTCCTCTTTTAAAGGACTGTTTGTAATTAATTCTTCCCATAATAGTCTGAGCTTGTTTCTCCTACCTGACGTTCTGCTGAGGCAATTCCATTGTGAAGTTCAACCAGTTCAACTTCTGGTTGGCTTTGTTGTTCCATGGGAGCATGGTAGGTCTTTGCAAAATCTAAGAGGAAGTTAAACCATACATTTTTGGTTTTGACTGTTTGACTCTTTCACTGTATGACTACACATCTGTATAGGTTTGTCCTCTGATACTTATCTCGCACCTAAATATGAAAAATATCTTATTAAAGTTCTTTCTGAGCAAATCCCTTAAAACTCTTACCTCCAGCATCTATCTTGCCTACTGATGTTACACCCTTTGCTGAAAGGTGCTGCTGAGCTTCAGCCCCCAGAACGCAGCTGCTACTGTATTGCAGGATAGCAGACTCTGCAGCAGAGCATACAGTGTAAGACTTGTGGCAAAAAGTCAAAACGACAGATAGGTGGATTTACAAAAGTTCATCAGCACCTAAATTGCGGACAAAGCAGTGGAATTTACCAAAGCATCCAGGCAGGCCCAAGAAACCGGATTTCAGTGGAAGTGAGGTACATTCTTCCAAACATCATCAAAAATCTGTGCATTTAGTTTAGAAATGATATTTTCAAATTTGGCCTTAAGTGATGCAGGGACCTAATTCAAAGAATCTTAAGTTCCTATATCAGTTAGGCACTTTGGAATTATTTACTCCCTGTGACAGTGGTGCTGAAGTACACAATGTCCTGACTGCCACAGAAGGAGTCTAGAACTGCTTCATTCTTCACAGTGTTGTTTTTACACTCACCCCACTTCTACTTTCCCCTTTGTATTGGCAGAAGATCATACTGAGTACTGACAGTGGGCCAGAAGAGAAGGAGTTACTCGACAGAACCCTCCCTTTGGAAACCAACAATAACTTGGTCTCCAGCACAGACAAAGCACATAGTCCTGATCTGAGTCTGACTGACGTGGCACAGAGCAATGGGAATAACCCAGATTGCCCTATTGATTCTCGAGTCAGAGACCACACAAATAATCGAATTGGTGAGTCTTGCTTTTTTTTTTTTTTTTTTTCCCCCCTCTTGCCTCTTCAATTTTTCAATCATGGGCACGTAATGTCATTCTGAGATTATTAGTAAACCGCAAAGTGTCCAAAGCTTCTAACAAAGGTTGGAACCTATGACATACAAATTCTGGTATTTGAATATAATGCTTTCTTACTTTCACTATTACCTTAATCACTTCTGAACCTGACAGAAAAATGCTGCTTTCCCTCTTTTTCATTCCAGAAGATGTAAATTTGCAGAAGAAATTTGAAATCCAAAATATGTCAGCTGGACAGGGATGCTGTAATACTTAATGACAGTTTTACTTCACATGTCTGAAGCTATCATTTTCTTCTCTTGGTTTCACAGTAATGGCTTGAAATGTTTCTCTTGTATGTTCCATAAAGTCTTTGACCATGGCACAGGGTAGGGGATGAAGTCAGTCAAGGAAGCCTACTCCCGGCGGGAGAATTGTTACCTGAGACACAGCCTACAGGAGACATTCTGACAGTGTTTCCAAACCCAATTTTGAGATATTGGAAGGGGGTTTTCTGGCATTACTAGAGCTGACCTTTCCTTACTAAATGCCCTTTCTGTTTTTTTTCTGTGAGTGATGGACTTGGGATGAATGTGATGATTTGACTTAACATACCCAAATATCTCCAAGCAATTGTGACCAATAACCTACAGTGTCCAATCTGCAGCATCCTTCTGAATAAAATGTAGTGGTCCAAGACATAGTAAAGGCCTTATTACATTTGTTAAAGGAGTAGGGTCAACAAATTGGACACAAGATTCAAGCCTACCCCAGCTGATTCTCTGCTGGAAATAAATTAATTTTTTTGCTGGTTCTAAGACCCCAGATAACTACACAGAATTTCTGTACAGTGCTGATCCTTGGCCAAAGGTTCCTTTTAACGCAGGTATTGTTGCATATTGAAACAGCAGGAGCATAAACATTGGAATCTCCATATCTATCTTCCCTAGATCCCGATTAATTGTTGCTTCTAACAGACTCTTGTGAATATCTTACTGCCTTTTCTAACTTGTCTTTCTCCTGTAGTCCTAGCTACAGTGCAGTGACTTCATCACATGGGAGCTAGATCCACTCAATCTAAAATGCCCAGAGTTCCATTAACAGTGGTCCGAAACCAGACAGTGTAGCACAAAATGTGCAGGACTTCTTTATCACTTGGTATGTTCAGTGCTTTGTTTTCAAAATAAAGCACTTTATAAATAAACAACGAAATAGACAAAATATGTGAATTCCAAAAGCTTTAGCGAGTTACTGAATTCCGTGTTTTTAAAGTGATGGGCTTGATCTGCATGCCTCTGATTAAAAGAAGAACAGGGGAAAAAAAAACCCACCTGTGTACTGAATAAAGATTTTGCATGAAAAGGAACCATCTCTAGAGTCAGCAGTGATTGTTAATTACACTCAGCACTATTTTGTTTTCCTTCCTCAGAAAAAATATACATCATGAAAGCCGACACTGTTATTGTGGGGTCCATTTCAGAAGTGCCTAGTGGCAAGAACTGTGCTGCTAGAGGATGTGAAAGTAATGTTGATGCCCAGGAAAACATGGAAGAGGAACTGGCAATGCACTATCCAGAGCAGGAAACAGAGTCTTTTCCAGGGAATGATGTAATGGTTCCCGTGGAAGAGGAGGGAAAGGAATTTCATCACCCCACCACTGCCACTGAAAAGTGATAACCCACTGGGAAGATGTGTGAAGCTACAGAAACATCCAGTGTGACACTAAGCCTGAATCCGTGACAGGGGAAGTAAACACAGAGTGCCTTAGATTATCTGAAAACTCATGTACATCACTGAAACACATACAGACAAGGAGTGCTAGAACCTACTTCATCTAGCAAATGAGAGGATCATCCAAACTGTTGGCCTTTGTAGCTGATGTCAAATATTTCTCTTTTTCTCTCTCCCAGTATCGTGCTGGAAACAGATTTGAATCAAAGCTACAAAATTCAGAGGATGTCTGAAGAGGATGGCTGTAGTTCCACAGCTTGCTTTCTCTGCATGAAGGAATGGATTGAAAACTAGGTCTGATTACTTGTTAGTTATGAAAATGCTGGCCAGAATTCCAAGATAAACTTGAGACTCAGCTATGTTTCATACCTTATTCCTATTCCAATATTACCAGTACTTCCAATTTTACCATATTTTACAACATCTGTTATTTTTAAGGCCTCAACTCTTGACTGAAAGTAATGACAATTTCAGTTTTCCCTAACACAAACAGAACTCTTAAGTTTGTGGACTTCATCTTTCTTGAGGAAATGGGATCAGAAGATGCCACACAGGCTCAGAAAACAGAAGGTAAACACAAATAATTGAAGTCCACTCTACTTTAGACCATTTTTTCTACGTTTTAAAGTCTGATTCATGTTTTTCTGACTACTTCAGATCATCAGTAAGTGTACAAAATGGCCTCTTCTGATGGAAGCCAGACTGGCTGAACACTAGGATATTGGACAAACTGTGGGTTCAGTCCAGTGTGGAGTCTGTAAAAGGGGAAAAGAAGAAAATTAATTTTCTATAAAAACGAAGGACTAAAAGCCAGGCACATCAGTTATTTCATATAACATTGTTAATATCTGCTTGTTTTAGAATTGCTCATAATCATCATATTGACACTGATTTGCATATGCTTTAAAAAGAATCTGGTTTGTGGTCAACCTGTCTTGTGTTGTGCTATTTCTCAGTCTTTCATGCTGCTTGTTTGATAACTGTAAATGTAATAGTGCTGACTATAATGTTGCACAGGACAATGGAAAATGAGCAAGATGACAAAGTGTGCCTTGATAGTCAAAAAAAGGAACCACAAAAACAATTACTTGCTTTGTAGTTTTACCCTGGACAGGATACTGTAATAACAGCTGTGCAACATCAGCGTCTTTTGTCTTAGAACACACAAAAGGAACACAAGGGCATAAAAACCACCTTCTTGAGCCAGACTAGTAGTACAGCCCCAACATTTCCTCTCTGACAGTTGCAGTAAGAGATGTTACTTAGGAAGAGGACATGTCTGGTTAATATCTGCTGTTTGCATTCCTCATAGTTCGGCAGCAACAGCTGTAATAGGATTAAGGATGCTAAAAGAATTTGTCCCAGCCTTTAGTATTCATCCATATTGCCATTAATTTTTTTTTCTCTCTTTAAATTTCCTGGTACAATCTGCCTCCATAAGTGCTGTGGCAACAGGTTACAGATAGTTACCATTCATGGTGTAAAGAAGTACTTTTACCACTTAAGTGACCTCTTACTTATTTCAGTGAGTGCCACCAGTTCTTGTATTACAGAATTTAGTGCAATACTGAGTTGCTTTTAGAATACCTGACTGTATCCTCCTCAGCCTCCAAGCTGAGTTCCCATCTTTTTATATTTCTCAGGTAAGTTAGATGCTCCACTGCCCTGATTGTTTTAGTTGACCTCTTCCACATCGTCTCTAACTTCACTACATTCTTCTGGACATCTGGAGGCCAGAACCACGCACTGCACTGAAGAAGAGGGGTGGGCCAAGGCTCTGAATGGTGGCAAAATCGTATTTTCTGTTTTGTTCGCAATACCTCACTAGATGATGCGTACCACTTGTTTGCTTTTTTGGCTGCCCCTGCACACTAAGCAGATGATTTCAGAGAACTGTCAAGCATGACTCCAAGATTTCTTTCCCAGGTGATAGCTGCTAGATGTGAATTCAGCACCATGTATACATGGTTCAGATTATTTTTCCCTGAATGTATTGCCTTATCTATATAGAAGCTTATTTGCTACCTTTTTATGAGCTGCTTCTGGCTTTATGTGCCTGCTTTACGTCGTGTGGCCACTTGGAGAAGTTTAGTATTGCCCTCACTGTGTGGGGACTCTTTTACCCAGATCATCGATGAAGATATTGAATAGAACTGGTCCTACCAATCCCCCTTGATAACTGTTCTCTATTCTGAAAAATTACCTTTATGTTGTGCTCTTTCCCTCCTGCCTTTTAAACAGCTGTTACGTTTGTATCCTGTAACCTTTTAGCAAATCCATAAATGACCTTTCCCCCAATCCTGTGACAACTTCATTTTTCTACCACCTTAGGTGTGGAACCTTATCAAGGGCTTTTTGAAAATCTCCATGTAGTAGGTCCTCTGGATCTTGTTTATCCATTAAGCCTCAGTATAAGGGAAGGTATGTTATCAAGATTTTGTGACTGAGAAATCAATCTAGAGAAATTCATACATTTCTTGGAACCACACCCCAGAGATGAAGTGGGAGAATCTCAGCATTATGAGATCTAGTCTCTGACTTCCATCAGTGGATAACCTACCTGTAGTATGTTTGAAAACTGGTTGTAATTTCAAGTGTTAGTTCCAGTATTCTTCAATTCCATTCTTCTTTATGAGAACACAAAATACTTTCTAAAAACAACCGCTGCCGGTGTATGTTTTGGTTTGTCTACTGAGCCTTGCAAGAGAGGCGATGAGTGAATCCCCTCAGTGTACTTCTGTGTCTGCACTTGCTTTGTTTGGTTCGGAAGATAAGCTGCTCCTAATGCTCTGAATTGAAATTTGACTACCAGTATTGCCATGTCAGCGGCAGTTACATGAGGTGAAGAAGGAAATAGGATAAACATTTTTTGGTTTAAGTGCTTGTGCAACAGAAGGTCAAGTCACCAAGTACTGACATAAAACAGTGATGCAAGGAAGAAGAAAAAGCTGTGTAGGACAAATACTGGTCACCCATTCCTCACTTCCAGCCAGGGCAGTTCATTGTTTTCCAGTGCATACGCTTCATTGTTTTAGAGAGCACCAATCTGTGTATCCACAAACTGTGAATAGCCGTGTTCACCTGGCTGGGATTGGTAAAGGATGTTCAGCTAATTGTATATTTCAGCTCTGTATAGAAATTAATCTTCTTTATTGGAACAGCTTTCTAGATGAATCATATGCATTGCAACCTGCTAGATATATTACAGCTGATTAGTTTAATAATGCTGGTAATCTTTGAATTAAAAATCGCGTGGATTTTGGCCATACTTTTCTTGTCTGACATGTAAATGTTTAACTGTTGGTCATTTCAGCGTGGGCATCAGTTGCAGAAAAAAATATTTTTGCCAGAGAGCCATTCAAAGCTCACGAAGCTGTTCGTGGACTGGAGCTTGTCCTCAAGGGCAGGGCAGGTCTGAGTTGGCAGCATCCCGGCAGTGTGCATGAGGCAGGGATGGAGGCGGTGAAGCGCTGGGTGGCAGTGAATGGGGCATGCTGCGGGGGGGAGTGCAGCTTTCAGTCAGTCACGGGATGGTTCGGGTGAAGGGACCGTGGGGACCGTCCAGTTCCAACCGCTCTGCGGCGGGCAGGGACACCTGCCACAGCCCCGGCGGCCCCAAGCCCCGTCCGACCCGGCCTGGACCCCTCCCGGGGCGGGGGCGGCCACAG